CTTCTTCTTCTTCTTCTTCTTCTTCTTCTTCTTCTTCTTCTTCTTCTTCTTCTTCTTCTTCTTCTTCTTCTTCTTCTTCTTCTTCTTCTTCTTCCTTATTACATACCTTAGTACAACATGGATGCTTTGGTGGAGAACTGCTCATAAAGCAGACAACACATTATAAATAATTTCTCAACACGAGCTTCCTGTTTAAAAATGTTATTGCAGTCCTCTTCATAACTCTGAACCAGTTATATAAAAACGAGCGCTGCTGGTTGAGAATGTTAATAAAGAATGTTATTACTATTTGTCAATATTTCCCCAGATAGCTCTGTTTGGGATGCATGTCGAATGGAGCACCCCCACCCCACCCAACACACACACACYCCCCACGCCCCTTTTCCTAATTTCAGCTTCCTGTCTGCAGCATAAAGCAAGACTGATAGAGATTTAGCCGAGTTCTCCGGGTCTCCAGATTCATTGAAATTCAGGGCAGAGCTGCGCGGTGTTTGAGTGACAGGTGTGTTTTCTTGTCGAGGAGAAGCTTCAGATATTTTATTTCCTCTGCTAAAATTGTAARCATGGCGGTATAGCTCATGCCTGCAGTAAGCCGTGCTTCATCCTGTGCTTCTCATCTACAATGTTTGTGTGTGTGTGTGTGTGTTCATTCATGCATGTGTGTGAGTATCTGTGGGCTGTGTGTTTGAGAGTGAAGGGAAGTGTGTGTGAGATTGAGTGCCAATCTCCCCCATGATGCTTTGCCATCTGCCGCYTGTGTGTGTGAGCATTCATTTGTGAGTGCCGTTTGCCTACAGTGTCCAGGGTCAGAGAAACATGAGGTAATACCACTCCCAGTCCSTTCTTGTATTGTGACTTTCAATTTGACTGCGTTTTTCTCTAATCTGACACACAAAACCACAAGAACTCCTGAAAGATTATCTTGGAGAAAGTCCACCTATATTACAAATTGTTTATAAGATAATAGAAAAGGTAAAAATAAAAACAGTTTGAGTGGAGAAATTCTTGTTTAGGTCCAAAAACGGCTGAGCTTTTCCCTTTTACCCTCAGCATTTCTTTAAAAATTTAATCATCTTTTCAAATCATCACACTTGTGACATTGTCTCCCACCCTCCCGATCTAAACAAAACCTAAAATAACTCAAAAGAACGCAAAGTTCTTATTAGGTGTCTTTTTATTTTTGTCTCACGACTAGCTCGGCACCACAGGAAACAGATCTGGTCTTTTCTGCGAGCGCTCATGGCTTGTTGTCATGGTGACAGGCCTTGTGAGATCATCCCCAACCCACTTGTGGCAAGAGGTGTCATGAGTAAGGTGGGAGGGAGGGAGGACAGGGTGGGGCTTGGAGGTGAGCGACAAACAAAACATGTCATCTTCCCCCCTCAACCCCCAGTGGAGCGGTGAGGGGCGGGGGTYGGGAGCTGTTTCATCAGCCCTGATGGAGCACAATAAACCGGTG